TGCAAATGGGAGTTCCCATGCCTGCATCTGGGAAGACCAGAAGCTGATGTTGGGTGATTTCCCATATCACTCTTCCATTTTATATTTTGATACAGTGTCTTTAACTTAATGTAGAGCTTAGCATTTTGGGGTAGATTGGCTGGCCAATGAGGTCTTCCCCTCCTTTATCTGACATTATCCTGTACCCCATCCTGAATCTGTCACCTCATGCCTGCCTTTTACCTCTGTGCTATGCATCCAGGCTTAGATCTTCATGCTTTCACTGTAGGCAGCGCCATCTTCTCAAGTTATGAAACTCTCAGTCACTGAGATTGTTAGAGTTCCCTTTCATAGTCATTCCCCTAAGAAAACAAATAAGACACAGAGGTGAATGAGCTATATATACCATGTAGGGACTATTGTGGCTGAATACCTTTCTCAGTGGGTATTTTAAAAGGGAAAGTCTTATACGTTTCCTATTTGGTTCCAGCATGTTTTTGCTTGTTTGCTTGCTTGCTTGTTTTGAAACATGGCTCACTGTAGTCCAGTTGAGCCTCAAACTAACAATGTAGTCAAGGATGACCTTGAACTTCCCATTCCTCTGTCTCCACCTCCCAAGTGTTGGATACAGACATACGTACCTCTACCCAGATCTAGACTCTGTTATTCCTTCAGCTGCCTCTTCCCAGTTAGGTCTTTCCTTGTAGCCATTTATGTACTTTCTCAGTGTTTCTACTGATGTTTATGGAACATTGTAGTATGTTCAATACTTTGCCAACATCAGCAGACAACTGCGAGGAAAAGGAAGCCCACAGATCTCGCATACTTGTGGGGAATAGAAAAGTGTTGGAAGTATTACATAAATAAAATTCAGTGATAACTCCAATAACTCTTAGTAAGGTTGTCTGTATAATTATGTTAAGGTTTATACAACGAACTTAATTTGCAGGGCGCAGAGAGTGGGAGTTAAGGAGAATAGATGCTTGAAAGAAGTCTGGGCTTTGAGGAGAGTGTAGTTTACTTGGAGCTCCGTATCTGTGGCAGGCGTTTGCCAGGGAAGAAGGAAACACAGTATGGCTGTGGAGCTAACAGAAGGCATAGGAAGGCGTGAGCAGGCTGTGTGGAGAGCTGGGCTGGGGAAAGAAAAGGTCAGTCTTGTGGGTCTCGTTAAGAACTTGAGAGCAAATAAGTTCAAAGCCTTCTGAGGACATCTCAATGGACCATTAAAGGCACTTTCCTAAACCTCGACAGAAGGGATAGTGGTTGGATCCAGATGGCAGTAGTGTAAAGATGGGCATGGCGTATTGAGGAGATGTTGAGGAGGACACATTTCTCCTTTGCAGTTTTCACTGAGGTACACATACTACAGGAGAGTCAGGCTTGGGGCTGCATTAAATGAAAGCGGGAGTTGGTGAATTGATGGAGGTTTGACACATTTTATATATTTACTCTATAGCCAGCAGAAAGCAGTTGAGAATATTTAAAACATGAGGGATTTTAAATTACTTTTCTAATGTTTGATAAAGCGCCGTGAGCAGGATAACTTAGAGAAGGAAGAGTTTATATAGGCTTGCAGTTCCAGAAGGACAGCAGTCTATCATGATGGAGATGCAGCAGCTGTAGCAAGTTGCATGTGTGACAGCAGGAGCATACAGATTACATCTTAAAGCCGCAAGCATGAAGTAGAGACAGCAGACTAAAAGTGGTTGACGTATATAATTTCAAAACCTGTCCCACAAGGACATATTCCCTCCAGCAAGGTGATGCCATGGAAACCTCTCCAGACCGCTCCACCAGCTGGGGACCAAGTGTTCAAATACCAGAGCCTACATTCTCAGTTACACAACCACAGACATGATCCCTGGTTTTGAGGCTTAATTGTACTGCATAAAAAAAAAACTACATACATAAGATATACTTAAAGGACATACACACTTAAGAGCTACCTTGATAAACTGATCTCTGAGGCCTGTAGAACAGCCCACACCCATAAATATCACTTCTCCTTTGATAGTATTTAAACACACATTTAAAAAAAATTTCACTTGGAAACATATATGTATATATATAAGCATATATATATATATATATATATATATATATATATATATATATATATATATAAACACACACACACACACACACATATAAGCCTATATAAAATGTTCTTTTTATAGCAAAAACATGCTTTTGGGAGCTGGAGAGATGGTACTGTGGTTAAAAGAATTTGCTGCTCTAGCAGAGGACTTCGGTTTGGTTCTTGGCACTCTCATGGTCGTTTACAACGATCTGTAACTGTTTTTCCACAGGATCTAACACCTTTTTCTGGTCTCCGTGAGCACAGTCATGGACATATACATGGCACATACAAACATGTAGGCAGACACTCATATACACATAAAGTAAAAATAAACCTCTTAAAACAACACACACTTAATTCTTTTAGAAAAGTCATAACACTATCTGGCATTCTATATTGGTTAAAAAATAAGATTACTAATATCAATTTATAAGTGAGTGTATGCCATGTTTGTCTTTCTGTTTCTGGGTTGTTTCACTCAGGATGATCTTTTCTAGTTCCATCCATTTGCATGCAAATTTCATGATTTCCTGTTTTTAATAGCTGAGTAGTATTCCACTGTGTAAATGTGCCACAATTTCTGCATCCATTCCTCAGTTGAGGGACATCTAGGTTGTTTCCAGGTTCTGGCAATTACAAATAAAACTGTTACGGATATGGTTGAGCAAATGTTCTTGTTGAATGGTGGGGTATCTTTTAGGTATATGCCCAGGAGCCGTATAGCTGGATTTTGAGGTAGTGCTATTCCCAATTTTTTGAGAAAGAGCCAGACTGATTTATAAAGTGATTGTACAAGTCTGCAGTTCCACCAGCAATGTAGGAGGGTTCCCCTTTCTCCACATCCTCTCCAGCATGTGTTGTCACTTGAATTTTTTTATCTTAGCTATTCTAATGGGTATAAGGTGGAATCTCAGAGTTGTTTTGATTTGCATTTCCCTGATGATTAAGGACATTGAGTATTTTTTTAAAAGTATTTCTGTGTCATTTGTTATTCCTCTTTTGATAATTCTCTGTTTAGCTCTGTACCCCATTTGTTAATTGGATTATTTGATTTGTTGGTGTCTAATTTCTATCAGTGGATATTAGCTGTATAACATAGGATAGCCATACTAAAATCTACAGACCTAAAGGAGCTAAACACTAAGGAAGACCCTAGGGAGGATGCTTAAATGTCATTCAGAATGGCAAACAGGATAGACACCAGATGTAATGGAAGAGAGGAAACAGGATGGGAGCCTATTATAGTGGTCCTCTAAAAGGCTCCACCCAACAGGGAATCGAAACAGGTGCTGAGACTCACAGGCAAACTTTGGGCAGAGTGCAGGGAGTCTTATGGAAGAAAGCAAGTGGTGGTGGATAGAAGGACATGGAGGAGACAGGAGCAGGGAGTCTTATGGAAGAAAGGGAGTGGTGGTGGATAGAAGGACATGGAGGAGACAGGAGCCCCACAAGGAGACCAACAAAGCTAAAAAATCTGAGCATAGGGTGTCTGGAGACTGATGCACCAACCAATAACCTTGCATGGAGAGGACCTAGACACCCTGATCAGATGTAACTGATTAGCAGTTTAGTCTCCATGTGGATCTCTGAGTAAGGGGAGCAGGGGCTGCCTCTGTCATGAACTCAAAACTTGCCCTTGGTGATGTGGCCTTGGTAGGCCACGGTGGAAGAGGATGCAGGCAGTTCTGATGAGACTTGATAAGTTATAGGCCAATGGCAATTGTGGAGAATTCCCCATCTCAGTGGACTAGGGGAAGGGGAGAGGGTGGAAGAGAGAGGGAGGGAGGGTGGGACTGGAAGCAGTTGAGGGAGGGGCTTCAGTTGGGATATAATGACTAAATTTTGAAAAAAAGGAAAAGTTAAAAATAATAAAGCGACAATCCTCAAAAAGAGGTTTTTTTTTAATTTTGGAAGAAATATTCATTCATATGTAGAATACATTTATTAAAGAGCTACCTAGTGGTCCTTAAAAAGTGGGATTATGGGTATCTATGACAGCCAGTAATATTCAAAGGTGTTATTCCTCTGTAAAGGCAGGCTTAGGGTTAGAGGTTTTTTGTTTGTTTTGGTTTGTTTGTTTGTTTGCTTGTTTGTTTGATGTGATAAGTGATGCTGACAAATGTGGCTTTAGGGAGCAAGGGCTTATTTGCCTCACAATTCCAGGTTCGAGTTGCCCAGGAAGAGTAGAAAATATGGAAAGAACTTGTAGCAGGCAGTCATATTACATCCATAGTCAAGAGCAGAAAGCCATGGCTTAACGCATGCATGCACTCAGCACACATTTCCTGTTCTTGAAAAAATTCTCTCGTATGTTACTTTCCGACCGCAGTTTGCACTGACCCCTCTCCACCTAGCCTGACCCTCAGATGCACTCTTCTTCTATTTCCTTTCAGAAAAGGGCAGGCCTCCCAGGGATATCAACCAAACATGGCATATCAAGTTGCAATAAGTCCTGCTCTTATATTGTCCAGAACCTCAGGAGTAGGAGCCGGTGCCACCAAAACTGGGTAGATCTTCCCACCTCAGTTAATGTAACCAAACCCCCCATGGAGCTGCCCATGGGCCAACCCAACCTTCACTTATTTCATCCTTGAGACTCCCAACTTGGGTGATTCTCGATTGCGTGAGGTTGACAACTGAGACGAGCCATCACAAGTGCCTTCTGAGGTATAAAAGAACAATGAGGTGGGCTCCTCAAGGATCAGCATGCAACATCCGTACAGGCGGAATTAAGCAAGAGTGCTTTCTAAGGGCAGAGTCAAAAGCATTCAGAGATGTGAGCAGTGGTCAGGGCAGATCCTGAGAGATTTTAAAACCAAGCTTAAGGAAGGACATACCCGTTCAAGGCAATGTTTAAGTAACATCAAAGCCTGTGCTGCTGAAATAAGACCTTTGAGTGTATTCAAGTGAAACATGAAACATTTGTTCAATTTTTCTGCAGGCTCCCGTCTTCGTCAGGAAGATTTCCCACCTCGCATTGTTGAACACCCTTCAGACCTGATTGTCTCCAAGGGGGAGCCTGCCACTTTGAACTGCAAAGCTGAAGGCCGCCCCACACCGACTATCGAGTGGTACAAGGGTGGGGAGCGAGTGGAGACAGACAAGGATGATCCTCGCTCGCACCGAATGTTGCTGCCAAGTGGATCTTTATTTTTCTTACGTATAGTACATGGACGGAAGAGTAGGCCTGACGAAGGGGTCTACATCTGTGTAGCAAGGAATTACCTTGGAGAGGCTGTGAGCCACAACGCATCGCTGGAGGTAGCTAGTAAGTAAAACGGGCTGTGCTTTCCAGGGGAAATTGCATGACGGGATCGTGTGACTTGGCAGTGGCCGTAAGAAACTGTGTGCATCAGTCTTTGCACGAGGACAGTCTAGTTTTGTATGAGTACAATCTCTCATGTCAGCTTTCCTCACGTCTCATCCTGTTTGGGGATCCAACCTAAGTCACGTTACACAGAGATTCAGAACTGTTTCTCTGTTGAGTGTTTTCGCTGTGGCGGCTTATTCCCTCCCACTGTTTATTGTAGCTGTGTTGAATGTGTAAGAATGGTTCAGCGGTTAAGAGCACCGGCTGCTCTTCCAGAGGTCCTCAGTTCAATTCCCAGCAACCGGTTACATGGTGGCTCATAACCGTCTGTACTGGAATCTGATTCCCTCTTCTGGTGTGCATGAAAACAGAGCTTGTATACATAAAATGTTTATTTAGAAAGGAAAAAAAAAAAGAATTTGTCCAGAGATATGCCATCCAAGAAACTGTATTTAGATGCTTCCTACGTTGGGCCAGCAGCCGAGCTTGGGAAGAAACAGGATTATAACAGTATAATCCTGATACTCCGCTTATTTATTGCTTGCTTATACGTATATCCAGTGTTGCATTTTTGAAATGATCTCAACAGGGATTTGTTGAATGGTTAAACTGCTATGTCTGCGCTACAGATACACATCGTATTTGGAGATGAATCTGACTTCTCCTACTTCTCTTCTGCATTCAGGAGGTAGTTAAAAGTCCCTCCCCACCCCCCGCCTTGGAAAAATCCTGTTGTGTGTATCATAAATCTAATTTATACATAGGGATTCGAAAGACAGGTAAGATTCATACAAGTTCACTTGAAATATATATGGTTACTTATGCATCTATTAATATGCTTAGGGTGTCCCAGAAAAACCCATATTTTAACCTGAATTTTGTTCCTCTTTTATTTATATAACTTTTCATAGTCATTACCATTTAACTAGAGCTAGAACACACAGAAAAATGCGTAAGCAGTTATTAAATTTAGAGATTTAATCATAACGTTCAAACAGAATTACCTCCAAAGACAGTAAATGGTTTGCCCTCCCCCTCACCAAGGTGTGTGGTACTCCCATTGAGACAGACTGCCCAAGATGTCTGGTGTTAAGTGAAAATATACAATGTAAGTAAATCAAATAAAATAACCACTTTAGACTATGTCAAAACTATCCATTCACATTAAGATTTTTTTTTTTTTGTCATTTGTTTTACTTGTAGACACGGTTTTGCTGTGTGCTGCATAACGGCCTTGAGCTTTCATGTCTCCTGCCTCAACCTCGTCAAATCTGGTGTTACAGGCCTAAGCCACTGTACCCATTTTACACTGTAAAAGTGTTTACATGAATCCTGAATCTATGTTTCTTATTTAAATTAATACACAGTAAACATAACTGTCCTTTTCTTATTGACTTGACTCAAAGTGAAAGATTCAGAACTAAATTTGTAAGAGGTATAGAAACTATGATCACAATGGAAAGTGATTTTACTATTATGTTTCAAGCTCAACTTTAAATGAAATACAATAAAAACACGTAAATGTTTTCCTGTTTATCAACATGTTTTGAGAGTCATCCTCACTTGCAACTCTGTAATTTTAATCATATTTTTGTTATAGAACAATTATTCCTTATTGAGGTAATATTAAGGTTGGTAAAATTAAAAAATGAATTCAAGGGATCAGAAAAGCTGGTAGAAAAGATGTAGGTTGTTCCCTAATTGTGTTAAAAACAGCAACAACAACAAAGAACCAAAAAATAAAAAAAGAAACACCCCAAAGCAAACAAAGGAAAACCAAAGGCAATGAAGTGTGTGGAACAGAAGGAGCAACGACTGTGTCATGTTGATTCCTACTCTGCTCCATTTTTCTCATCTTTAGTATTTATGAGGATGTCAGAGACTTGATTAGATCAACCTGCCCATTCTAGAGCTTCCTTTTCAAAACACCCCCAGTTTCACCCCTGATCCTCAGGACACGCTGCATGCATTGGCCTTTAGGCAGGTTTTTGTTGTTGTTGTTGTTGTTAACTTCTGTTCATGTATTTTAAAGAAACTATTAGTTTCCAGTTAGGTTTTCTATCTCAGGTAGATATACCATTACATTGAAAGTCTTAGTAAGTATGTTCATGGAAATCAAAACCTAATTTGGAGCCTCTTAGGCTTAATCCACAAATTTTCTGGTGGTATTTATCACTGTGCTCAAAATAAAAAATGAATAATATAATTTACTGAATCTAATAGAAAGATTTTTAAAATGTAAGATAATAGTTAGAATATTTCCTATATTTATAAGCAGAGAAATATATAAACACTTTATACTTAAATTTAGTATGGTATTAATGGCAGTTTGATATTAAAGACAATAGTTTTCTGAAACACTGAAAATGTTTGAATAACATTTAGGTCAAGTAGTTTTCATACTAGTTTAATTATGTAAAAACACTTATTTATTGGAAAGTATGTTTGCTTTCACCATCCTGCCCTCAGAAAGGCTTTTGTGTGTTTGGAAAACTTAGAAACCCTTATTTAGTAAAAATCTTCTTTAGCACCCCACAAATATGTAGCAATTTAATTCATATTATTTCACTCATTTGTTTTTGATAACTAATATTGGTCTTGCCCCATTTTCAGAATGTTTATACCCTACAATCCAAATCAGCCTTTTTGTGTGGTACATAATTGATCAGCTCTATTGATAGTGAGCACAGGTGTCAGTCATATTAGTTACAAATAAGCCTGGGAATACTGCTAAAGTTTGGTTTTTATTTTTTTCTGGAGTATTCTGTTGCTCTTTGTTTTTCTACGTGTTTCCTTAGTTTAGGTGCTATGAGTAAAAGAAGAACTATTCTTACACTCCCCAAGGCTCAGACAGGAAGCCAGAGATTGCATCTAATTTCACAGTGATGCTGGGGCCTCAGTAACAGCATTAACAGAAGTGTCTTGAGGCATTGTGGGTCTCGCAGAGCCGTTGTTGGTAATGCCTTTAAAAACATTTTATCTGTGTTTTGCTTGTGTTTCAACCAAGTTTTACAGCTGTGACAACAACTGGAGTTCTTGGTTCTTAATATTTGTCAGTCCCTTAAACATATAAAAAAAGAATGCTCCTTGCATTTTTATTTCTATGTAGAAATAGTAATATTCTCTTTTGTTGCACATTGATATTTTTTAGTTAACTGTATTATTATTAATTTTTATTTTTTAATATTAATTACAGTTTATTCATTTCTTATCTCAGCTGTAGCCCCCTCCCTTGTTCTCTCCTAATCCCAACTTCCCAAAAATGTGCCTCCCATGCACATTGATATTTTTTGTTTGAGATAATGTAACTAGAAAATTACATGGATTGGTTGGTTATCTTTAGGAATGTCTTGTTTTGTTATCATCTGTATTACAATGATGAGCAGGAGAGAGTTGCAGTCCTATAGTTATTTTGTAGTAGAAACTACAATCCCTTTCCTAAAAAAAAAAAAAAAAGCCCTCAGTTGTGATGCTGTAATTCTTACTGTATATAATTGTAAAATCTGAAAATTGAAGCAAGAATTGCTTAGCAGTGCTTATTTCTAGTACTTATGTCAAGTTTGGAAATGTCGGCTTTGCAAAAGAAAATAACCTTTAGTACTGGATACATTTTCCTAAATTGTCTTTCAATTATTATTTTTTGAAGAACAGGAATAATATGTGGCTGGCATATCTAAATCAGATGAAGTAAATGTGGAGGGATTTTTTATGATTTATGAAAATTCCTATGTGTCTCAGTCAGTTTCAACACTAGTTGTCTAAAATGGTCTTCTTGCTGGCCATATTTTCTGGTTTGTGATGGATTATACTATTGTAGAGTTTAAGAAATGTGTTAGAAAACTGCTAATTGGCTTGTTCTCCTATACTCATTTATTTTGTGCCTCATACAAATTGATAGCACAATTCTTTGATACAAGTTATAGTTAACAAGTTCTTTGATCTTGGATAATTGCATTGACTTTTAAGAAAAATTAATTTGAACCTTGCCCTTCATGGCTCCCATTGTAGGGCATGGCTCTCCATGTCATCTGCGAAGCAGGGAGCAGTCGGCATATGGTTATTTGTTTCCTATTTAAGCTGTTTTCTCCAGAGGAAGAGACATTCCCTATGGACTAGGCAGACATCTGCTCATGATCTTAGCAGCAAAACCAAGGAGTATTCTATTGCTCAGAAAATAATCACTGTATTAACCAATCAATGATCGTCTTTTTCCATTTTCTTAACTGCATTTCTAAAAACATGACTGCGGTAAAATTCATGTCAAAGAAATGTTTTCCATTTCTCTTAATACACTATGATTTAAAAAATATTATTAATAAAAAATACTTTCCAAAGTAATTTAGAATCACAAGTATCTATTTTTCTTTATTTATTTTTTCTTTTTCTTTTATTTTTTAATTATTTTTATTTTTATTAATTACAATTTATTCGCTTTGTATCCCCCCCCCGTACCTCCTTCGCTCCTCCCCTCCCAATCCCACCTTCCCTCTTCCCCACCCATGTCCCTCCCCCAGTCCTCCCTTTCCCTCTCACCCTAGTCTATGAGGTCTTATCAGGAGTGGCTGCATTGTCTTCTTCTGTGGCATGGTAAGGCTGCTACCTCCTCAGCGGGAGGTGATCAAGGAGCAGGCCAATCACTTCATGTCGGAGACAGTCCCTGTCCCCATTACTATGGAGGCCACCTGGATACTGAACTGCCATTGGCTACCTCTGTGCAGGGGTTCCAGGCCATCTCTATGACATCCATCCTCTTTGCCTTTTTGCATGGGGATTGAACATCTTAGCCAGAGTCCTCCTTCCTGATTAGCCTCCTTAGGTGTACCAATTTTAGTATGTGTATCCTATATTATATGCCTAGTATCCACTTATAAGTGAGTATATACCCTGTGTGTCTTTCTGCTTCTGGGATACCTTACTCAGGATGATCTTTTCCAGTTTCCACCATTTACCTGCAAATT